GGAAGGTGTTCTTATCGTTGGATGGGTTGCTGTTCAGTGTAAATCCCGCAGAAGCACGACGAGGATGGGGCGGGGGCGGTGGCCAACACGCTGGCGCGTCTGGCCATCGGCGACCTTCCTCCCGAGGCTCTAGCCGCCCTGACGGCGGCGCGCCTCGCAGGCATCCCCACTGCAACCCCTGGGGACGTGCGAGTCCTGGGCTGTGGGAGTGTCACCCGCCGTATGGTGGGCCGCAGCGCTGCCAAGGTCCACCACAAAGACATGCGGGCGGCGGTGGGGGACCAACAGTTTGGCCTGGCCAAGGACGGATGTGGTGCCCTCCACCGACGTCTCTGCACGATGGCCAACTCGAGCCCAGGCAAGTGGGTGGTGGCGGTGGACCTCGGGGATGCGTTCAGCAACATCCCCCGCGACCTCGTGAAGGAGGCCATGCGCTCCAAGGTGCCCGCTCTGGCGCCGCTGGCGGAGGCCTGGCTCCCTGCTCGCACACGCCATGCGGCGGGGGGTGGGTCCCAACCCGCCCAGCTGGTCGACCAGATCCGCGGCCTCGACCAGGGCTGCCCGATGGGTCCAGGCTTTTACGCGGTCGGCACCGCGGATGTTCTCAGCATCGGTCGCATGGCCGTGCGTGCGGTGGACGTCGAGGGGGATTGCCTGGCGTTCTTGGACGACGCTTACTTCGTGGGCACCGCGGCCGCTGTGTTCCGCGGCTTGGATGCCTGGCGAGCCCGCCTCGAAGCCCACGGGATGAGGCTGAAGATGTCCAAGACCCAGATCTGGCCCCCAGATCCCCAAGCTGTCCTGCCGCCTGAGTTTGCGGAGTACGCCCAGTGCCGCGTCCAGAAGCTCAAGGCGGTGGGGTCTACTCTGGCCTACACAAACCACGACGTGGACGCCGACTGGAGGGGCGCCCCGCTCACGGACTTCGCCGCCCCGGAGGACCTCGACGAGGGCGGCCGCGCGCCGGCTGGCGGTGCCGGGGCCGCCCCTGGCGCCGCCACGCCGCTCCCCTGCGGCGAGGCCTTCCTCCAGAAGCAGGACTGCTACTTCCGAGAGCTCCTGGCGCTCCGCGCGCATGGGCTGTCGGCCTTTGACGCATCCCAGTTGATGCGGATCTGGTCGAGGGGCGCCTGCGCTCACATCCAGCGGGCGCTCCCGCTCACGGCGGCGTGGGGCCGCAGGGTGGATGGCGGAGAGGTCGCCTTCGTCAACGCCCTTCTTGGGGCCACGGCTGCCCCCCGAGAGCAGATCTTCATGAAGGTCAGCGACGGAGGCCTGGGCTGTGGCAGTGCCGAACAGCGCGGTCCTGCTGCCCTCCTGGCGTCCTGGGAAGCCGGGATCCACGCGGCTGCCCGGGAGCTCCGAGAGACGACAACGATCGGCCTCTTTCGGCGGTGGCCGGGCCTCGGCCGTGCCCTCTCGGCAGCGGGCGAGGAGCAGGGACGGCTGGCAGGAGGCCGTCGCCCCCAAGGTGACCGCTGGCAGGGCCTTCTGGAAGGGCGGAAGGGCAAGGACCAGAAGACGTACACCCAGCACGTACGGGACCAAGCCACCAAGACGTTCTTGGCTGCGCTGCCGGTGACGGCGGCGGCGGCGGTACATAGTGCCTCGGGCAGCTCAGCGGGCGCCTGGTTGGATAACTTCGAAGGGGTTTCGCCCCTCGCCGACCACGCGTTCTGCATTGCGGCCAAGAGGCGCATGCATCTGCCGCTGCCCAGTCCGAGTGCACGTGCCGGAACCGACCGGCAACGCCCACTCGCGCGATAGCGCAGGCCGGCCTGGCGCGTGGCCGTACGGTGGACGTCCGTTGCGCTCATGCGCTCAATTGTCCCAGGGGAGGTGGCCCGGTGCGCTGGCGCTCTGGCTGCGCGGTGTGGGCCACCACGCCCTAGTGGGGCAGGTCATCCCAGAGTGGCACACGGAAGAACAGGGCGCAGCCACATTGGACGTCGTTTACCATCGAGGTATCCATGGCCGGGTATGTCTCGACATCAGCCTGGTGGACGAGGTGGCCGTGGCCCAGACGGGACGGCCGCATCAGGCATCCCTGCAGCGCAGAGAGAAAGTGAAGCACCGTAGGTACCCATTTTCTGGCCTGGTGCCCTTTGTTCTCGATGTCAATGGCCGCTGGGGGGAAGAGGCGGAGACGTGGCTGCGCCGTGCCGTGGGGGAATTGCCCGAGGCCGAACGGCCCACAGCACGTTCATCCCTGCGCTCGGCAGTGGCCAACGCCACGCAAGGCCAAATCGCTGAGCAAGTCGCCCTGGCGACGGAGAACGTAGTCGGGTTGGATGCCGGGGCCGCCCCGAGCGTCCAGTCTTGACTAGATGTGGCTCCCTCCCATTTGCGTGTGCCCCGCCTGGTCCTGGGGCCCGCTTTTCTTTTAGACCTGGTGGGGGGCTGGCGGCCCCGCCCCCCAGGTGATCCAAATGAAATTGTCCACATTTGACTTTCTCGCTTCTGTGCATGGTGCTTGTGCGGTTGATGCAATTGTTCTCAGTTTACGCCTATTTCTGAAGTGTTACTCTTAACCCCTTGCCATCGTTGTGTCAATGGAGCTTGTAATCTCGTGTCTGCTACTCTCAGAGGTGCTGAACCTGTAGGTTTGCTTACGCCCCAGCTGCAGCAACGTCGCCAAACCCGCGAGTGCGGTGTGCCCACAGTGGTACCCCCCTCGCGCCGCGGCACCTGTTGCTTTAGCCTCCGCTCTGCGCGCGGTCATCTGTGTGCCTAGCCACTCTGGCTTGCCAATTGGCTTGCCATCTTGGCCTCCTCTCACGCTCTCTTGCGCTCGTGGGCCTCGCTGGCGGTGCTGGGGTCGCCCCGTGTGCTGCCGCGACGCCGCTGGGCGCCTAGCCATTTTGGCTTGCCATCCTGGCCTCCTCTCGCGCCTTCCTGCGCTAGTTGGCCTCGATGGCGGTACTGGGGTCGCCCCGTGCGCTGCTGTACCGCCGCTGTCGCTTCACTTTGGGCCGTGGGGACCAGCTGCCCTCGGATAAGCGCCTGCCGCTGCATGCACGTCAGACCCGCCCTTTCACCCAGAAGAGGTGCCCGCTACATAATGGAAATGAGGCAGCCACAAGGACGCTCTTCCCAAGGTGGTTGAGCCGTGGAGATGTGGTGCACGAGACCGCCAGTAGTAGCAGCAGTAGCAGTAGCAGTAGCAGTAGCAGTAGCAGTAGCAGTAGTAGTAGTAGTAGTAGTAGTAGTAGTAGTAGTAGTAGTAGTAGTAGTAGTGGTAGTAGTAGTCGTAGTAGTCGTAGTAGTAGTAGTAGTAGTAGTAGTAGTAGTAGTAGTACTAGTAGTAAGTAGTAGTAGTAGTAGTAGTAGTAGTAGTAGTAGTAGTAAGTAGTAGTATAGTAGTAGTATAGTAGTAGTAGTAGTAGTAGTAGTAGTAGTAGTAGTAGTAGTAGTAGTAGTAGTAGTAATACTAATCGTAATATTAATGGTAGTAGTAGTAGTAGTAGTAGTAGTAGTAGTAGTACTACTACTACTAGTAATAGTACTAGTACTAGTAGTAGTAGTAGTAGTAGTAGGAGGAGGAGGAGGAGGAGGAGGAGGAGTAGAAGTAGAAGAAGAAGTAGTAGTAGTAGTAGTAGTAGTAGTAGTAGTAGTAGTAGTAGTAGTACCAGCAGTAGGAGTAGTAGAAGTAATCGTAGTAATAATGGTAGTAGCAGGAAGATTAGAAGTAGGAGGAAGAGGGGTCGAGAAGAAAGGGGGGAGGAGGAGGACAGGGGGGAGAGAGACATGCGTGCAAATCGTGGCGACGGGAGAACACATGGCCACACGATGCACACAATAGCCCCGTAAAGCCATTCATCTGCTACAACGCCAGAAGCGGGAGGATAAACAAAAATAAAGATGCCATCTTCATCGCGCTCGCCAACAACGTGTCCGGGCAGTACGGAATGATAAAGCAGCTCTACGTGATCAGCCGTACAGGTCCTGCCAAGGGCTTCAGGAAAGCTGATACGCCTGCGAATGCGCGAAACTGCATCTGAACATATGCTGCGGGGTTTGTGTGTTGTGAGCAAGAAGTGCGGCCTAGCACAGTGTGCTGGATATCTTCTGGGAAGCCATCCCTGACAGTTCCGCGAGAGCAGCCATTCCGGATTCAAGTGCGGCCGTCATGGTCTTGAGGTAAATCCTATTCGGGTCCAATGGGGCACAGGAGCTCGGCCGAAGCTCCCGGCGCGTGAACCACAATAGAATGGCTGCGGTACAGCTGGGCTGGACCGGGGTATCTCGCTCTCAGGCCCCGGTGTGCATACGAAGCGACTGCATGCCGGCTGCCCTCTGTCTGCCTCTGACGCACCCGACGTGCAGCCGAGAGACGGCGGCACAGCTGTTTTGCGATGGCGACACGATGTATCCCAGACAGAGAGGCCACACGCGCTTGCAGTTCAGTGCGGGTAGTAAGCTAACATGCCACTCGGGCAGGGTCCTAGTTCACCCTCGCCTTCGGAAAAGACAGCGTCCCTCCCTCCCCTTCTTCCCCGCAATCCTTTGTATTGGCAGTCCTCTTCCCCTCCTCTGCCGGGCCCTCCTCGGCTTCGATGCTCCACGCGGGGAAGAAGTCGTATCGACGCTCCCCCCGAGGAGGGAGCGGAAGCCGACTGGCTCTCCAGAAGGAGTCGAGGGCCGCAGGCCCCCCCCCCAGTCGTGGCTGGCCTCTCGGGGGAGGGCCGGTCGAGAAAACCTGGCGGCTCCCTCCCGGGGCCCCTGCTGGGGGTCGATCCTGGCCCCTTTTCCGGTGCGCGCCCAGCCGCGCCGGCACAAGCCTCCAAGCTTGCCGTCGCTCAAACGTCCATGTCCCGCACATTTTTCGGTTTCGTGCGTGCTTTGTTTGCTCGATGGTCCAGGATGGTCCTCGATGGTCTCCGCCAAGACAAAATGCACACGTCCGACCTCCTATTGTTCTTCCTCCTCCTCCTCCTCCTCCTCCTCCTCCTCCTCCTCCTCCCCCTCCTGCTCCTCCTCCTCCTCCTCCTCCTCCTCCTCCTCCTCCTCCTCTCCTCCTC